TTAATTAGTTTAGTTTATGAAGGATTTTATTTAGTAAAATTTTGTCGTAAGCGTCATTTGTCCACAATTTGGCATTTGGTATTTCATCTTGTCAGATCTTGTGTAATTTGATCATGACTGAACGCGGGATCCCAAACAGATATCATTCACGTTCTCAGAAATTATGACTTTATCGTGTAAAAATATAATTCATTACCAGCAGTATGCTGGAGGTTGTAGGAATTTGGCGTTTAGCCTAACATTAACCGATAGAATAACTCTGGCAACACTTATCACCGGTATCACATTTCTCTCTGTTTTGTACTCTGTTATTTTCCTCTCTGTTTTTGTTGATGCGCTGTCAAAACACGTCTAATTGGCCATCAGCTGTGATTTTTGCTAAAAATAAATTATACAGAACATTTCCAAATACATAATTGAAAAGTTGTTATATGTTTCTATTTCTGTATAGAAATTCAAATTAAAAAAAGCAGGTCAGCTGTGAATTTCTGGAAAATTTCGTGCATCCGCGGGCGAGAAGCAACAAATGTGATCTACTTATTTGCGTCTTGCTTTATAAAACCAAACACATCGTCGCAAAGGGTATCGACGCCAAACCCCCCTCCAAGCACCATGCTACATTTACGCCGCGGAACCGGCGTCGTTCCAAATATCTGGCGATTCCAGCAGCTGCTAGCGTCACACTCTCCACTGTCCATCAATCTGTGCGCGCTGCAACAGCAAACTGCCGACGCTGGTGAACCGGCACAAGCCAATGTGCTGCGAAAACGTAAGTTCAAACCGCACGAGCCTGAAGGTACTGCATCCGATGTCAACTTGCCTGAACAAGCTCGTGTCGTTATATGTGGCGGTGGCACTGTGGGTGCATCAGTAGCCTATCATCTGGCACTGCAGGGCTGGGGCAAAGACACTATCCTAATTGAGCAGGACAAAGTAGGTAGCGGTAATCCTTGGGCTGCTAGCGGTTTGGCAGGCCGCTTTGAGCCAAGCTACTCGGAATTGCGACTAGCTGAGTACTCAATAGACTTGGTTAAATCATTGACGGTGCAAGGACTGCCCACGGGTTGGCAGCAAGTGGGCAGCCTAAATTTAGCACGCACTTTCGATCGCATGACCGTATTCCATCGCATGCGCTCACAAGGGCGCGCTTGGGGTATCAACTGTGAGATATTGACCGCCGACGAATGTAAGGAGCACTGCCCGATGATTGAGACGAGCGATCTAGCAGGTGGTTTATGGATACCTGAAGATGGTGTTTGCGATCCAAAGCAAGTTTGCAACTCGTTTATTGATGAAGCGCGACGCTTGGGCGTACAGGTAGTGGAGCATTGTGCGGTATTGAAGATTAACAGCGCACATGGTAAAGTAACCGGCATCGAAACCTCAGCGGGTGATGTGCTCTGCGACTATTTTGTCAATTGTGCGGGTTTCTGGGCACGTGGGGTGGGTACACTGTCAACGCCGAAAGTTAAGGTGCCACTAAAAGCGGTGGAGCATCATTATCTGCACACGAAACAGATTGAAGGACTCGATCCGATGACGCCTTTTGTGCGTGACTACGACGGTGGCGTGTATTTCCGTGAAAAGAATGGGCGCATATTGGCCGGTGAGTGCAAGAAATTAATTAAGGTACCGGCTATTTAGAATAATTGTTAATGATTTAATTTTCTACTAGGCGGCTTTGAGCGCGAGGCAAAAATGCTCTACGAAGATGGGGGCATACCACTGCTGCAGAGGGAACGTCAGCTGCCACCAGACTGGGATCACTTCCACGGCTTGCTCGACGAGCTGCTACACCGCGTGCCTTTGCTCAAGTCGTCAAAACTGGATAGACTTACTAACTCATTGGAAGCATTCTCGCCAGATTGCAAATGGATTTTGGGTGAAGCGCCCGAAATACAAAATTACTTTGTGTCGGCGGGCATGAAAACCATAGGCGTATCAGCTGCAGGCGGCATTGGGCGCGCTATTGCTGATTTAATAGTGAAACAGTCAACGTTTGTGGATCTACATATCCTGGACATTAGCCGCTTTTTGGGACTGCATAATAATCGAAAATTTTTACGCGATCGCTGTAAAGAGGTGCCCGGCAAACACTTCGAAATCAACTATCCATTCAGTGAGTTTCAAACGGGACGCAATTTGCGCATGTCGCCAATCTATCCGGCGCTCAAGGAAGCTGGCGCGGTATTTGGACAGACAATGGGCTATGAGCGACCGAACTATTTCGATCCGAATGACATGAAGGGTGAGTCAGATTGAAGTAGTGAGTTAGTAAGGAATGCATACAATCATAATTTTATTGGAACTGCAATTTAAAGCTGAGATCGACGAATAATCTATACCAAAAACCACATAAATAAATGCGGATTCATCGTTTTAATTCAGAACATTTCTTATTACATGGAAGAAAAAGTTCAGAACTAGAACGATGAGTCCACCACAAAAGTATCAAAGCTTGCACCAATTTAAAAAAAACTAATCAACTTCAAAAAATGTTCGTCAATTTCTTAAAATTTTTAATTAGAATATTAAGAAAATTTTCTGGCAAGCAGTTTTGTAATCCATTTATTATTTTTTTTTTTTTTTTGAAGGTATTGCTCATTTTCTTCCATATGATCAAAATCTATATTTATGAGAAAAGAATCCGCAAAACCCTCCACAAAATGAATTAAAAAAAAAAAATTAACGGTAAGTCTTAGCGACTTAAAACATGCACTTTATCAGACTAAAATTAAATGGGCTACAAAACTGCATTCCCGGAAATTTTCTAAATACTCTAATTAAAAATTTGGAAGTTTTGATAAAAATTTCATAAAGTTTGATTATTTTTTAGAAATTTGTGCAAGCTTTGAAATTCTTATTTATGTGGTTTATGTTATAGATTGGATTATATTTTAAATGAAATTTATCAAAAATAAACAAACAATATCATTTTAATTTCGGAGCTAATTAGTTGATCGCAGCTGTAAATCAGTTTTTATATTGATCAAGAAAATCCCCTTCTCTTTCAGATGAGTTTGGTATCACCCGATTTCGCACCGCCGAAACGAAAACTTTCGGCAAGCCGCCCTGGTTCGATCATGTCGCCAACGAGTACAATGCCTGTCGTGAGCGTATCGGCATCGCCGACTATAGTTCGTTTACCAAATACGATCTATGGTCGAAGGGACGTGAAGTAGTCGATTTATTGCAATATCTCTGCTCCAATGATGTCGATGTGCCGGTGGGTTCAATTATACACACGGGCATGCAGAACCATTTGGGTGGCTATGAGAATGATTGTTCGTTAGCGCGGCTCTCCGAGCGGCAGTGAGTAGCAGGTGGTCAAAAAAATGCAAAGGAAATATATTATTATATATATATTTTTTTTCATCTCCAGCTACATGATGATTGCGCCGACGGTGCAACAAACACGCTCCATTACCTGGATACGTAGACATATGCCAAATCATTTGAGATCCGGCGTAAATGTGGCTGATGTCACATCAATGTACACCGCTATTTGTATACTTGGTCCATACACACGCATTTTGCTCTCCGAATTGACTGATATTGATTTAACGCCGAAGAATTTTCCATTCTTCACATATAAAGTGAGTGTTCATGGGGATGTAAGCGCCAATTATTCACTAATTTTTTTATGCAGGAGCTCGATGTAGGCTTAGCTAATGGCATACGTGTACTCAATATCACACACACCGGCGAATTGGGTTATGTTTTGTATATACCAAATGAATTCGCGTTGCATGTGTACACGCGCCTCTATCAGGCTGGTCAAAAATTCGGCATACACCATGCGGGTAGGAAATTACTTTTCTCATAATAAGGTAGAAAATATCAATTAACCCTTTCGTTTACAGGCTACTATGCCACACGCACATTGCGCATTGAAAAATTCTATGCCTTCTGGGGCCAAGACCTGGATACATTTACCACACCGATGGAATGCGGTCGCAGCTGGCGTGTCAAATTGAATGTAAGTACATATAAACATACAGAGGCTCAGCAAGATTCTCTGCACCATCACGTTTTCTCCTTTTTAGAAACCCATTAACTTCATTGGCCGCGAAGCACTGCTCAAACAACGCGAAGAGGGCGTCAAGCGCATGTATGTACAGCTATTACTTAACGATCACGATCACGAAGTGGATTTGTGGTGCTGGGGCGGTGAACCCATTTATCGCGATGGCAAATATGTGGGTATGACCACCACCACCGGCTATGGCTTCACATTTAAGAAGCAAGTTTGTCTCGGCTTTGTACGTAATTTCGCTGAAGATGGTACCGAGCTGCCGGTTACGAATGATTTCATACTCTCGGGTCACTATGAGGTGGAAGTGGCGGGTATGCGTTTCGAAGCGAAGGTCAATTTGCATTCTCCCAATTTGCCAACGAAATTCCCTGACAAAGAGCGTGAGGCATATCATGCGACGCGCGACAAACAGGGGCAGGCGGATTTGTTGTCTTATGAGACGAAGTACTGAGGCGAAAGGTGGAGGCAATTGCGATGAGGAGCGATATTGCATATTAATTTACTACATCACGTTAATTTATAGTTATGATTTCTTTAAAATCGATTTAGTTATTATTGAAAATTTTTTCTTTGTAAATTTAGTTAGGAATTATTAGTGATATATTTTGCTTAGTTTATCGTGGATTGCTCCTTATAGTTCTATGTTGAATATTATATTTACGAAATCGCATTGATATTTAAAAATCTCAAATGTTATACATCAATTATATACTTAAACAATTGTTCGAACTAACCACCTACATATGTATCTGTGGACTTTTGTCAAAACAACTTCTCTCGTGTGAGGTAATTTTCTCTTCAAATTTATAATAATTCAAATTTAAAACAATTGATTAAGTTCTCGAATGATATTTTTATGTATAGTTATTATTAGGAGTAGTTCAAGATGATATCTTAATGAAAGTTAAATAAAAATGTCAAATTTTTAATGGAAAGTTCCTTATAATTTAATCTAAATTTCAACCTACAGAGAGCACAGAGGTTTTTTTGTCAACAGTCGACAGATATGTACCTTGTATGCATGTATGTGCATCCATACATAGTATGTGAATATTTAATTATGAAATACTTAAAAGAAATTTAACCCCTGTTTGAACTGAAAAAGTCTGCTACGCGCATTGCATTTATCAAATACTAATGTAAAATTTTTTTCTAAATCTTATATAGTCTCAAATTGGATATAACTCATTAAAAAAATTTTAAATACTTCGGCTCAATTAATCAGAAATGTAATATGAAAGAAAACCAAAAAAAAACATCTAAAAATAAAAGAAATCAAAGCAAGTGTCCTTTAGTTGTATATTAGCAAAGAGAATAAAACCGATATTAATGCTATAATTCATATAAAGATAAAAGTTTTAAAAAGAGCTTTTATAGGGGATTTTCGTAAATTAACGCTAAAAAATATACATACCTCGATTAGACGCAATTAACTTGCTTGCTTTTGGCAAGCTACAAAAATTAAAAAAAAATAATCTTACAAAATTTACAAATATAATATAATTTTTACACCTCAATTTATTCGAAAATCCTACCAACCATTAATATAATCATATTGATAGATAAAAAATAATAAAATGTTCATATGTATAGCCCCTATCTGCTCAATTGTAATTTTGAAATAAAAATTGTAATACAATTTATAGAAAAAGTAAAATAGGGATTACTTATTTTTCTCAAAGCATCAGGATTTGAAAACGTTGAATTAGTTATAAAAGTAAGTCCATTAACTTATGTATGTATGTACTAAAACCCATTTGGAACCATGCCAATAAATTTCGATGTTTTAAGGATTCGATTATGTTGTTAACTCATCGCTATTGCGAAAAAGTCATTCTATGATTAATAACAGCCTAAATAAAACTAGGCTGAAAATAAGAAATACGTTTTTTTTTGTGTATGTTCGATATTTCGAACTTCGGTTCGAAACGCTTTTGTACTAATTGTGCTTAAGAGATAAATTATTAGACCAAAAAGTAGAATTTTTTAGGCAACATTCGAACTTTACTTTTATCAATGAAAAAAAAAATACTTCCAAATCAATTTAAAGAGAACGTTTCTGCTAATGCATACAAAAAATGTAGTAGGTCTCTAAAAATTGTGCAAAGTTAGAGTTCGAATTTCCAAACTTGAATATAAATTGTTTTCATTATTAAAATTTAGAAATTCATCAAATCCCTTAACTATGTTTTAATCCCTTTGGCACTACTCAAATACTAAACTTTTTTTAATCCATATGTATGGTATGTTTGTAATTTTATTTGTTGTTTACTCAGCACTGGTGCCAAAAAGTACTTCTATAATGAATAGAAGTCCCATTCAAGGCTAAAAACATTAATTATAAACATTTTTGTGTATGTTCGAATTTTCGAACTCAAGCTTGAAAATCGTTTTAGCCTCATTTTGATTTCATACCGTAACTATATAACAACAAGAAAAAATATTACAGCCTCTTTGCGATAATTTTGCCTGCGAAATTAATTGCAATTAAAAAAAAATATACATATTTCAAAATAAATTTTAATCCATCAAATGCTCACTACTAACAAGCAGCAACTTAATAACTTTGCAAACTTTCTGCGGTGTTTCAATATTCGAAATTTGGCTATTTTATAACCACGCTTCTATCATTTCATAATCTTGTTTGTCCAGACATAGGATATGCAAAAACTAGGCTGGACAAAGAACACAGAATTAGCAAAACTAGTCTAGGAATCTACCCCCCGGAAGTTAAATATTAAACAACCGCATTATTATTACTACGCCTTAAAATATGCACTATGCTTTAGCGGAACCGCACGATACTGCATTTCTTTAAATGAAAATAATTTTTGCTATATGTATGTATGTACATACAGTGGTGGAAAAATAAATAGGGACACGACATTTAAAATATTGCCTATTTCTCTCTCGTTTATTTAAAACTTATTATTATTTTTTATATTAAAGCTCCTCTAAAAAAAACACATACGTTTTTATTTCAAACTTTGTGCCAACATTATAAAAATTTTGCAAAATTGCATCTAAATTTTCAATTCTTTAATCAGATTTTTTTCGAGTATGCAGTTTTATAGCCCATTAAAATTTAGTAGAATAAAGTGTAAGTTTTAAGTTGCTAAAAATCGCGTTGAATTTTGGCAATTTTTTTAACGCATTTTCTTACATACATTCAAAATAAAAATGATTAAAAAGTGCATAATTTATAACAGCCATAGCTTAAGACATAGTTTTGAGACAAATTTAGTTTGGTATGGAATTTTTAAATCAGCGAGAAATGTTGCAGCTTTTTGGCGATGATTTCGAATTTTCCAACTCGTGTTCGAAATGTTTTTTATATTTAAATATTTTATGTGGAGTTTTTAGACCGGAAAGTCAATTACTGGAGACTTTTAAAGTTGATTTCAAATTTCAAAAATAATTTTTTTTTTTTTGCAAAAATTACTGAAATTAAAATAGAATTATATTTTTTTTTTAAGTAAGCGAGGCTAAAATTAAATAGTAACCAAAGTTTTAAGATTAGCATGTGCGCACTTCGAGCTTTAATATATTTTTTTTTTTATTACGAACAAACAATTTTCGAACTCAATTTTTAGAAGGTAGTTTTTGAATTCGAAATAGGAAGAGCTGTACTTTTGTCATTTAATGCTTACAAAAAAATAGGTAAACAAAATTATGGATGTATACAATAATAAGCGCCATAATTATTCAAAAACCTATTGTACATATGTGTTTTAACAAGAGCAAAACATTCCCTTTCGATAAACCAAGAGTCCTTGACCGGATGTACTGAATCTGGGTCGTTCCTTTAAAGTAGGTTTGACTGTCGCGGAAACCTCCACTATGTACAATATAGGCGACAACTACCCCAAAACAGATATGTATGTATATATGTATGAAAATTTGTATATGCATGCAGAACAAGGGCACGCAAATATTGAAGCTTACGATATCCCTGGGAAAACTTTAACTCAATCAATTTTAGTCTTTCTACATGGGTATACATAAATTGGTGTGCACCGATTATTTTATGTATCTATAACTGTATTTATGTATGCATAGGCCACTCAATTTGTTCATATGTACATATGTCCATAAAGCACAACATACAGCATCCACTACAAATCCTTGTGCCACAAGTGCCCCTGTCCTATTTTGACGCGTCACTGCAAGCAGCGTAACAGATAGCAACAGCGGTGAATGCACCAAATATTCATAGGTAGGTGTACAAACAAGGAAAATTATATTTAAA